TTAAGCTGATTTACCCATGCCAAGAAGATTAATGGAAGATGATAATGACAAGGAAACACACAGGTAATTTTAACAATTTAATTTATTTCAACATAAGAAATTTATTTACACATTAAAAACATTTCAGCATAGCTAAACTAGTGGAATTGATAGACTTTTTGAATATAATATAGTGTATTTATTAACTCTTTCTTTAACCTTTAGCACTCTGCATTATTAATATTACTTCCCTTTGCACTGCATTCTTTTTCAAGGCCTCTCAATTGCAGTAACCTTATTGTTAATTTCACTCGAAGTTGTTTTGTGCTGCCATAGTAGGATATGACAACACAACTATGAAATTCAAACACACTATTGTTCAGGGATCACTGTCACCTTCAGTGGCAGGATAAACATTTTGTACAGCAAAGGAAATCAGATACAGAGTGATAAAAGTTAAACAATAAAAATTACCAAAAGGTTTACAGTAATCACAGTGTCAAGAAAAAAAAAACATTCTTTTTGACACAGTTTTTTGCGGGTATGTTTGTTAAACATTGTTAGTATTCTTTTGATTTCCATATTTGTGTTATAACAACATCAATAATGATGATTATGATGATGATTGCAAGCACTTCCAGCCCCACTAGCTAATGCTGGGATTAAGACCAAGTGTAAAGATTTTAAATGCTTCCTTTTAAAAGCTGTTATTGTTATCATGTCAGAAGCTGCCCAGTCTTCACTTTCCTGCCTTGATCAAGCCTCTCCAATGAATTATTCTCCACTCTACAATAACTTTCCTACAGATGAAAATGCTTCCACTTTTCTTTATTTTCATAGAAAACATTTAGGGACAAACTACATTCCTTAGTTCCACCAGTTCTAGCTTTTAATAGACCCACCATGCAACAAACATTTATGAATCACCCTGAGTCTGTTCGTATCCCACTATTAAGGTCTTATGTTCCGAGTACTTCCAGCAGTGGTTTGTGCAACTGAGTCTCAATAAGACCTATCCATCAGGCAGTTTGAATAAGTTAAGTTGTTAAGTTTACTGTGTCATCTTTATGTTGCTTCGACTTTTCAAAGGCCAGTCTCATATAACTTATCTTTCCACCCTAAGCCAAGTGGAACAATGTGTTCATAAGTTAAGGATGCTTTCATCCCTTTTTCTTTGCTTTTTTTAATCATTTCACCCCAAGCGAGGGGGTTACAGGGAGTGAAATTGAAAGAGAATGAAAAGACTGAGAATGAAAGGGATTGAGGAAAAGACAAAAAAGGAACAAGGTTCAAGAAGACAGATGATGTTTGAAGTTACATTTAAATTTTTGAAGGTTGTAGTTATCAGTGAAGCAAGAAATTGGAAGGGAGTTTTACAGGTGGGAAATGCAACAAAAGAAACTGTTGGAGTAGAAGTAGTCATTGCATCTAGCCAGCTCAACAGTAAAACAGTGAGACCTAGTTGCCACTCTAGTAGCACACTTAAATTCATGTTGTCAGAGCACCAGGAAAAAACTCATCAGAGCAGTTGCCATAAAAAGATACAGGGGAGCCATGTCATCTCAGAGAGAAAGTGACTGAAGTCGAGATTCCTGGTCCAGTTCAATTACATTACAGACCCTTCTTTGGATTTTGTCAAGAATCTCAAGATATATGGCGAACAGAAGACCAGATATGGCAACAGTCTTCAATGCACGGTGAATGGTGGATTTCTAAATGTGCAAGATGGATTTTAATGAGAAAAATTTTCTGGCACCACAGAGTGAACCAACTTCCCTTGCAGTAGACAAAGCAAGTGATTCAATATGGTTGATTCAAGTGTAAAAGATTTTAAATGTTTTCTTTTAAAAGCTGTTATTGTTATCATGTCAGAAGCTGCCCAGTCTCATACTTTCTGTCTTGATAGAGATCAAAAGCCTCTCCATGTCCTTGTGGGTGATGAATTATTCTCCACTCTACAATAACTTTCCTACAGATGAAATGCCACAAGACTCTTACTTTTCTTTCACTATTTCCATAGAAAACTTTTAGACAAACTACATTCCTTAGTTCCACCAGTTCTATCCTTCACAGCTAAGACCCACCATGCCACAAACATTGTAGTGAATCACCCCCATTCTGTTCGTATCCCACAGGTAAGATGTATGTTCCACTTAAGCAGCGGTTTGTGCAACTGAGTCTCAATAGGATGTTTCCTCAGTCACTGCAATCTTAATCTGTTCAAGTCTAATGTTAACCATTATCTTCCCTACATATACCCATAAATACTTTATAAACTTCTACTTCAAATGGCTCTTGAGTCTTGTACAGAGTGAGCATTTTTGTAAAAAACAACATCACACAACCTCATCAACCACAGCCAAAAACAGAGTCCATAACACTGCACTACACTTAATTGTGATTTCCATAATTCTTTCCATGGTTCTATATTACAGACATTGCCAGGGTTACATATGTTTTTTTAATTCAGAGTTGTCTTTCTCCTAGACTGGTCACCAACCATGGTTAGAGAGCCCAGTCTGCTTTGCTATGTAACTCAGCTGTAGAGAGCAGAGATGGATGACTCTCCCAAGTTTATTTATGTGAAAATGAATGTAACACATTCAACTGGAAATTGAATTCAGTATACTGATTTCTCATCCTGACCTGTTAACCATTACACTCCCTGCAGAGGCATAACTGTTATTATTACCTCTATCCCATAATGGTTACTATATTAGCATGCATATTTCATACCCTAAAGGTAACAGATATTATAGGGCAGCAGTAGCATTAAGATTTTGACTAGTATTTGTTTAATCTTAACTTCAGCTGCTTTTTATCACAACTTCTCAGACTTTTCTGACTGTCAGCAGTGTGGAATGGAAATAAAGAATTAATATCAAACAAGACATGAATTTGCTTCCTTTTTTTCAAGAATCCTGTCTTAGTGCAACAACTGCCTTACTTATTAGACAATTGGAATGGCTGGTGGAAATTCATTTACCTTATCATTCTAATATAGTAAAAATATAGTAACACTTATGAACACAAGTGAAAATAGACAAGGACATGTAGAAATGTTTGCAAAAAACACTTTATATATAGAACTTGAATGTGACAATACTTTGTTCAAGCAGTGAACCAAATATACAGATATAAAAAAGGAAAAATGAATTACTTGTTAGATGACTTGGCCATACACTGGATCAGTGATATGGCTAAGGTCATAGGTGGCAAGAGAAAAAAGAAGGATGGAGTACACATGCAGTTGTTTTGTGAGATTGGCATCAGTTGGTAAGGTGACATATTTCGTGCCTCTAGCTAGACTGTAAATTAACATATTTATTACTCTTTGACATGTGCATAAAATATAGTTGATTCAAGGGCAGATAATTAAACTTTTTTAACACTGCAAGGCTATAATGGTAAATGGTTGCAGAAGCAAAAATATACCCATGAAATTTTCATTCTTTATTTTTCCAGAACACCCAATTTGCTACCATCTTTCTTGATAACTACAATCTTAACCAGTTCAAGTCTAGTATTAACCATTATCTTCCTCACATATTCTCATAAACCATGTCTCTTACTCTGTAACCCTAGTAGTTTTTTTGGCCGTGTATAGTCTGTATATTATTGTAAAAAAATTGTTTGCATATACATATACTTCACAATAATATTGCTTTTATTACTATAATAGAAGCAATATTATTGTGAATTTTATTATTAGGTAAAGCATTGTCAGTTATTATTTTTCCAGTAAAAATTTTTAACCTTAATTTTTATTACTTTTTTTTTTAATTAATTGTTTTTATTTCCACAAGCAAAAAATATCTGTGATTTTAGCTGCCCAATATCTTTTAACCTTGACCTTTTCTTTTGGAGGATGAGAGTAGTCATATTAGAAATTGTTTTTTTTTTTTTTTGCATTTTTATAAATCTTGTTTGGGCTGAATTTGAAAAGAAACTTTTTTGAAATTAGCAAGAGCCAAACACTAATTCCTCGGAGGTTTCTATGGAGGAAGTCAGCCATCAAAAATGTATTTTCATCCAATTTTTGCCTTCTATCAGATACAATGAGAGTTGGTGGGGTTGGTGGCACAAAGAAACTGTTCATTTTTCATGAGACTTTCTTCATCCTTTGGTGATTGAAAGAAATTTGCAAAACATTTGTGCTTGGTTCAAAATACACTTTCTTCTCTAAAGTGAAAATAGCTGAAATAAAACTGTCTGTCAATATTAAGAGGTCCTTTTAATTTATATAGAAAATAAAGATGTAATCAACAATTTGTCATAGAAAGAACTTCCATCATTCCAGACAATTGATAGACTGTTATCTTCATTCTTGTTGTGTTTAGCACAACATTTTGAATATTTCATCTGAACACTTCAGACAAGAAAGAAAAGCCAAAATTGGCTTTTATTTCTTGAACACTTCATGTTCAGATGAATGTTTTCCCTATTCTGCTGGGACTATCATCAGCAAATTTGTTATTTTTAGAATAATATGTGCTTTTCATGCATGTAACATCATATTGAAACTTTGTTGTATAGGAGTAAAGTGTCGCTGTTGACACTGTAGTTTGAACAAAGATCAACAGAGAACAAACAGAGGCAATCCCATTTTGAATAAGTAGATCACGTGATAGTAAAGGAAATATATATATATATATATATATATATATATATGGAAATTAGCGTGATGTCAATTTGATCACTATTTCTATTCTATCCTCTATTGCTATATGGTTCACAATTCTCTTCTCTACACTATTCTCTATACTGATCACAACAAGGATTACTATTTGGTAGTTACTTTTCGAGTGACTATTATCGAGTGTATTAGTGCGAGTGATATTCGAAGGTGTCTGGCACCAGTATTGTTCAATGGCATTATTATAGTTGTATCTGCAATTACAAAGTCTCTACTACAATGGGCATTACAAAAGTGGCAACGAGTGTTCATTGACATCACAAAACACTTCATGCATGTAACATCATATTCCTTCTTCAGTTATGTAATATAATATTTCTTTTCAATGCATGTAGCATTATATTCACTTCATGTCCTCTTCATAAATGTAACATCATATTCAAACATTCATGTATGTAACATCATATTCCCTCTCTCTATATGTGACATCATATTCCCTCTCCATCTCTGTAACATCATATCCCTTCTTCATCCATGTAACATAATATTCACACATTCACGTATGTAACATCATATTCCCTCTCTCTATATGTAACATCATATTCCCTATTCTATTCTACTCTCTATATATAGGGTGTTTCATTAAGACAGATCAAAGTCAGCAATAAATAAATCAGTGTTATTGGTGAAAATTTATTTATTTCTCTATTGGATCATGTTATTTAAGTCATGGCAATTATGTGTGAAAAATAATATCACCCAAATGTCCACCAAGGCTTCGGTGGCACACTTCCACTCGATGGTCAAAATTTTTGATGACGTCTCTGCATAGTTGCTCCTCGATCTCATCAATATGATTTATTATCTCACCTTCAGCTGTTGAATTGTTGTTGGCTTGTTGGCATGGACCTGACTTTTGACCCCAAAGGAAGAAATCTTAAAGCAGCAAGTCACATGATTGTGGTGGCCAATTGACTTTGCTGATTTGAGAGATAATGCAACCTGGGAACTTATCACTGCATTTCTGTTTGAATGTCCATTTTCATAATAGGGTTTGACAACTTTAACATGTTGTTTGATTGTTAATCTTTCCATGGTTGAAATTGCCAAAGACTTAAGTTGTTAAATCTGAAAGAAAAAGAAAAATATCATTAGACGTTTAAACTTAATTCACATTTAAAATCAGTCCAAGTTATTGGAACACCCTTTGTAACATCGTATTTCCTCTTCAAGCATATAACATTATATTCCTTTTTCATATATATAACATCATATTCACATTTCATGCATGTGACATGCTTGTAAAGTTGTGAGCTGTAACAACAATACTGTATTTGTCATCAGTAGTGTCACAAGACAGGCAACAAGGAAATGAATGGAACTATATTGTTCAGGAATGGAAATAGATTCATGCTTTCATTGCATTCTGTGTGTGCAATGTAGACAGTTTATATGCTGAGTGTATTTCAAAGAATGTTATCTACCATCTACATGATTATATACATGCAAGTGTATGAACTTGTGCTAATGTCAAAAGAAGATATGTAGTGTATTAATTTTGAGCCTGAGTTCTGTTGATAAACTCTTTTAGGACCTATGCATTGTTTTATCTGTATATGAGGTCATTTACTGTAATCCAACTATAATCTTTTGGTGCCATGTCCTTCAGGAGATTTGCGGTCATGGCTCTCCACAATTTATCCGTTTTTGCTCTTATCAATATTTATCCTTTTATTATCACTGCCAGTCCCTTTTCTGTCATCAATTTATGCTTGGTAGGTAGGTTGATCATGACTCTCCACAACTTCCTATCCTTTTTAGCTCCAATCAATGTTTGTCCTTTTACTATCAGTAAAATTCAGTCTAATAATTTTAGAAGTCAGCAAACTTTTTTTAATAATACTCAGCCAATACATGACCCAAGAGCTACTCAATGTAGATTGTTACAGAAGGAGGTTGTTATATAAGCAGTAATAGTAGGATTTAAGAAGTACAGTTTATGAGGATGCATGGGAAAGATAACAATTAACCCTAGACTTGGAAAGGTTTAGATTGTAATGAATGGAAAATCATGCCTTTGGGAGTCTATTCCACAAAGTAGCGGCTTGTGAGAAGCTTTCCAAGTTGAACTTCTTTTTTACTAATGGAATATAAAGAGAATGAGGATGGTTTGTCCTGATGTATGGTGGATCTTAACTGTAAAAAGTTCGATTGGTGAAACAAAAAAAATGTTGCTTGTCAGAACATTAGTTTTGTTCAAGTACTTTGACTATTTCAGTCATTTTGAAAGAACCATGTGGTGTCTGTGTGGTGGACAAGACTCTGTTGGCTACACCCTAGTATTCTTTAGAAAGCTGAAAGTTTAAAATAGTTAAGATTTTAAATTTAACCCTTTGAGTCCCTGACCACTACTTTACCAGTAGTAGAGAAAAAAATGACTTAATGCCCAACCGCTGAATGAACAATGGTAGAGAAAAATGATATACTGAACCACCGATTGAACAGTGGTAGAGAAAAATGACATAATACCGAGTCACTGGTTGAACAGTGGTAGAGAAAAATGACTTAATGCCCAGCCACCAGTTGAATGGTGGATAAACACTTGTAACCATTTTTATATCTACTGTGAAACATTAAATACCAATTATTTGTAAATTTTCACTCAGGAGCTCAGGCAGAAGGGTTAAATTGTTCAGGAATGCAGGCTTCAAACGGTTAAAATATTTAAGTTGGATTGATTGATTTGTGTAGATACATGCTTGTATAGACATAATTACATGAGGTGGTGATATGTATAGTTTTGTTGAAGTTATATTTTAGAATAATGTACGCAGAGTGAAGCCACACCAAAAAGAATGATATTTTAAATTTTTTTATTTCTACACATATTGCATTTTCCATATGCACCTTCCAATATATTGTCCAATGTAGTGAATGATATTTTATTTAAAATTTCAGTTTTCTTAATAATACCAGGATGTGAGCTTATTTTTTCCCTTTTACACTCAGTACAAGACCCAAGAAGCACTCAAGGTAGATTACTGAAGAAGGTTGTAAAAAGTGTTCCAATAACTTGGACTGATTTTAAATGTGAATTAAATTTAAGTATCTAATGATTTTTTTTCTTTTCCTTTCAGATTTAACAACTTAAGTCTTTGGCAATTTCAACCATGGAAAGATTAACAATAAAACATGTTAAAGTTATTGCAGCTTATTACAAAAATGGATGTTCAAACAGAAATGCATCTTGTGCACTTCACGTTTTTTTTGGTCAACATAATCGAGCAACCAAGAGTGCATATATAACATCATATTCATATTTCATGCATGTGACATGCTTCTAGAGTTGTGAGGTGTAACAAGAATATTGTACTGTCACAAGACAGGCATCAAGGAAATGAATGGAACTATATTGTTCAGGAATGCGAATAGATTCATGCTTTCATTGCATTCTGTGTGTGCAATGTAGATAGTTTATATGCTGAGTGTATTTCAAAGAATGTTATCCACCATCTACATGATTATATACATGCAAGTGTATGAATTTGTGCTAATGTCAAAAGAAGATATGTAGTGTATTAATTTTGAGCCTGAGTTCTGTTGATAAACTCTTTTAGGACCTATGCATTGTTTTATCTGTATATGAGATCATTTACTGTAATCCAACTATAATCTTTTGGTGCCATGTCCTTCAGGAGATTTGCGGTCATGGCTCTCCACAATTTATCCGTTTTTGCTCTTATCAATATTTATCCTTTTATTATCACTGCCAGTCCCTTTTCTGTCATCAATTTATGCTTGGTAGGTAGGTTGATCATGACTCTCCACAACTTCCTATCCTTTTTAGCTCTAATCAATGTTTGTCCTTTTACTATCTATCCCTATCCCTGTTCTGCCATCCATTTACATATGCTCAGTAGGTAGGTTGATCATGGCCCTCCATAACTTCCTATCCTTTTTATCTCTAATCAATATTTCTCTCCTTACTATCCCTCTCAGTCTCTGTTCTGCCATTCATTTCCACAAGCTCGTGAAGTAGGTTGATCATGACTCTCCACAACTTCCTATCCTTTTTAGCTTTAATCAATATTTGTCTCCTTACTCTCCCTTCCACTTACTATTCTGCCATTCATTTACACAAATTCATTAAGTAGATTACTTGATGTTTCCTCTCGGCCAATCTTGCCTTAATTATGTTTGAAGAGTGCCAAATTTTGAAACACAGTCTTTCCTCATTATGTGTCCTAGTGATTATTATTATCTTTGTATGTTTAATCTTCAGTAAATTGAAGCACATATTGAGTATGTTGATATTTCATTTTCCATTGGTGTGTGCAGGTAATTGTAGAAGCACTGTATATTAAGTTGAGTCATAGATAATTTCTGTCTTTGCTTATGAACTTTATATTTCGAAAAATAAACAATTACTTTTTCTTCAATTATATATCCACCATGAATTGTTGCCACTTATCAGGCAGCTCTTTGATACCATTCAAATAAAATTCCACATGTTTTGACATGAAAAACTTTTTCAACCTCTTGAATCTACTTTTCATTAGAGAAAGTTTTCACCATCAAAGCATTTTACAGTGATCAAGAAAACTAATAGAGAGATGATGCAAGGTCATGTGAATATAGCGAGTGGAGTTGAGCTGACCAGCTGAATTACCAAATTATGTCCTATGTCATTTTTGCTTTATTCAGCATTGCATTGTCATAGAGAAGAACAACATCTATCTATCTATCTATCTATCTATCTATCTATCTATCTATCTATCTATCTATCTATCTATTATATGTTAGTGTACCCCACTTAACTGCCATGATGATACCTCCATCATTACAATTGGTCCCCAAAAACGGAAATTACTTATGACTCAACTCTTTTTTTTAAGCATTTCACCCCAAGCAAGGCAGGAGTGCCACTAGCATGCAAAGGGGTTACAGAGGGTTACAGAGAACAAGAGTAAAAAGGCGTGTTTGGGGAGAGGATAAAGAGAAGGACAGGAAACAAGATCAAGTATCAAAAGATGTCGATTGACAGTACACTTGAATATTTGAAGATTATAGTTATTAGGGAAGCAAGTAAGAGGAAGGGAGTTCCATTGTCGGGAAGTGTGAGAGAAGAAGCTGTTGGAGTAGAAGAGGCAGTTACATAGAACTTTTTTGAGATTAAAAGCATAGGACCGAGATGCCAACCTAGTAGCTCGCTTAAATCCATGCAGTCTGAGAACCAGCAAAAGCAACTCATCAGAACAATTGCCATGAAAATACTTACAGAAGAGACAGAGGGAAGCCATGGCACATCTGTGAAATGATGTCACATATAGAGAGAGGGAATATGATGTTGCATGCATAAATATGTGAATATGATGTAACATGCATGAAGAAGGGATATGATGAGAAAGCAACTGTAGACTAGATGCCAGATTAGGACCTATCACATTGCATATCTGTCCCTGGATTTTGTTGAGGACCTTGAGACTTACAGGGGAGGTACCAGACCATATATGGCAGCAATATTCCATGCAAGGATGGATGGTTGATTTATAGATTTGAAGGAAGAACTCAGATGAGAAAATATTTCTGGCATGACACAGAATCTATCTATCTATCTATCTATCTATCTATCTATCTATCTATCTATCTATCTATCATATGTTAGTGTACTCCACTTAACAGCCACATAGATTAGTAGTTAGGATGATACATCCATCATTACAATTAGTTCCCAAAAACAGAAATTACTTATGTCTCAACCTAATCTATCTATCTATCTATTAGGAGGCATGGTGGATTAATGGATATGGCTTGATTGAGTAATCGGAGAGCTGAGTTCAAATTCCAGTCGAATCCATTACATTCACTTACGTGCTAATACCCTTGGGAAAGGCGTGAATACTCTTTCTTCTCCCTCCAGCTATGGATAAATATCAGGACAGACTGGGTTCTATAGCCTTGGATGGCAACTGGTCTAGGAGAAGGAAAACTCTGAATTCAAAACCTGCTCTTAGATGAGGGTGAATGGAGTCTCTCTGAGCCTTGGTTGGCAATCCATTTAGTGATGGTGTCACGATAAAAAAACCCCTTGATAGCCCTAGCAAAGCATCAAGAATTCAGCTATTTGACAAGATTATGAATTACTCCAATCAAAGTATTAGTGAGTTCAATCTCGGCTGAGGCCACAAGATGATGATGGGGATCTATCTATCTATCTATCTATCTATCTATCTATCTATCTATCTATCTATCTATCTATCTATCTATTATATGTTAGTGTACTCCACTTAACAGCCACATAGATTAGTAGTTAGGATGATATCTCCGTCATTACAATTGGTTCCCAAAAACAGAAATTACTTATAACTCAACCTAATCTATCTATCTATCTATCTATCTATCTATCTATCTATCTATCTATCTATCTATCTTATACTAGTGTACTCCACTTAACTGCCACATATGATTAGTAGTTAGGATGATACATTTTTCATTACAATTGTTTCCTAAACACATAAATTACTCATGACTCAACCAAATAATTTTGAAGAGAGCTTCTATAATCTACTGTATATACTGCCATGCAAAAACAAAGATTTGTTTGTGTACTCCAAATTTATTCTTAACTTCCACATATGATTAGTAGTCAATTGGTTCACAAACATGAAAATTCAGTTTAATAATTTTAGAAGTCAGCTAACTTTTTTTAATAATACCCAGCCAATACATGACCCAAGAGATACTCAATGTAGATTGTTACAGAAGGAGGTTGTTATATAAGCAGTAATAGTAGGATTTAAGAAGTACAGTTTATGAGGATGCATGGGAAAGATAACAATTAACCCTAGACTTGGAAAGGTTTAGATTGTAATGAATGGAAAAGCATGCCTTTGGGAGTCTGTTCCACAAAGTAACGGCTTGTGAGAAGCTTTCCAAGTTGAACTTCTTTTTTACTAATGGAATATAAAGAGAATGAGGATGGTTTGTCCTGATGTATGGTGGACCTTAACTGTAAAAGTCTGGATTGGTGAAACAAAAAAATGTTGCTTGTCAGAACATTAGTTTTGTTCAAGTACTTTTGACTATTTCAGTCATTTTGGAGAACCATGTGGTGTCTGTGTGGTAGACAAGACTCTGTTGGCTACACCCTAGTATTCTTTAGAAAGCTGAAAGTTTAAAATAGTTAAGATTTTAAATTTAACCCTTTGAGCCCTGACCACTACTTTACCAGTAGTAGAGAAAAATGACTTAATGCCCAACCGCTGAATGAACAATGGTAGAGAAAAATGACATAATACCGAACCACCGATTGAACAGTGGTAGAGAAAAATGACATAATACCGAGCCACCGGTTGAACAGTGGTAGAGAAAATGACTTAATGCTTTAATGCCCAGCCACCAGTTGAATGGGTGGATAAACACTTGTAACAATTTTTATATCTACCGTGAAACATTACATACCAATTATTTGTAAATTTTCACTCAGGAGCTCAGGCAGAAGGGTTAAAATTGTTCAGGAATGCAGGCTTCAAACGGTTAAAATATTTAAGTTGGATTGATTGATTTGTGTAGATACATGCTTGTATAGACATAATTACATGAGGTGGTGATATGTATAGTTTTGTTGAAGTTATATTTTAGAATAATGTACGCAGAGTGAAGCCACACCAAAAAGAATGATATTTTAAATTTTTTTATTTCTACACATATTGCATTTTCCATATGCACCTTCCAATGTAGTGAAAGATATTTTATTTAAAATTTCAGTTTTCTTACCAGGATGTAGCCAACAGATGTGAGCTTATTTTTTTTCTTTTTACACTCAGTACAAGGCCCAAGAAGCACTCAAGGTAGAGGATTACTGAAGAAGGTTGTAAAAGGTGTTCCAATAACTTGGACTGATTTTAAATGTGAATTAAATTTAAGTATCTAATGATTTTTTTTCTTTTCCTTTCAGATTTAACAACTTAAGTTTTTAACAATTTCAACCATTTATTAATTCATTAAAAAGAAATAATTTCTAATTTTTTGAAATATCAATTTTTAATTTTTTTTATTAAAATTTAATAATTTATTTAAAAAGATGCATTTTATGATTTTTTTAAGATCTGAAGTTAATTTAAAAGGGTATTTATTTAATTATTTTTTTGTAAGTTTCTAAACAGAATAATTTGATTTGGTAGTGTGTAAACTTTGTGTCAAAAGAACAGTCATTTCCTTGTGACACTGCTGTTACTATTTACATTTTGACTACCTCAGTAATTTTTTTTTTTCAAAAGCGATGATTAGAGAATTAATAAAACCCAAACATATAAAAGTGGAATTATACATTTTCTTTATTTCTGAGAATTGAGAACAAAGATATTAAACACTTTGTTAGATTAAATAAAGAACTTTTCATAATTATCTATAAAATAAATAATAAGAAGAAATTAAATATTGCATTGTCGTTGGTCTACATATTTTGATAATTTTGTAAATTTTTATTTTTTGAATAAAAGGATTTCTTAAAAACTTTTTCCTTTGGTAAATAAATCTTTATAAAAGCTAAATAATAAATATCACATTGTACTTTGTTTACTTATTTTTTATAATCTTGTGAATAAACATTGCCGAGTATACAGTAATGGCGGTGACAAGGAATTAACTTTTGAATTTTGAAAAACTGTTTTTTTTTTTATTTGCAGGCACAAAGGTTAAACATTGCTGAAATATCTTTAACATAAACCTTTCTGCTCATGTTCACATTCAAATATACTCTCATTCACCATAATTATGAGAGAAAATTTTAATTTTGCTTCAACTGAAAAGTGTTTTGAAACCTTCTTCTTAGTGGATATACGATCAAGATAAGGACTGCACTATCGCATTACAGCCAATTATGGTTCTGGCTGATATGTCTAAAGCATTATTTCTCTTTACTTTTTCTTTTTATGTGCCATGTCCTTTCAGGACGTAGGTGATCATGGCTCTCCACTTCCCTCTATCCCTTGTAGCTCTCAACAAGCTCCTTCCCTCTGCTTCCTCCCAAGACCATGTTCTCTCATCCACCCAAGCTTGTCAGGTATGTCACGTTCTGATTTCCTTTATCTCTCTTTCCCTCTATTTGATCCAAGAGTATCAAATTCTCCAAGCCCTCCTTCCTCATTATATGTCCCAAAAACTTCAGCTGATTCTTTCTGATGTTAAGTATAAACCTTCTCCTTGTTTATAACCTAAGACCTCATTGCTGCTCACATGCTCGATCCATGATATCCTTAGCATCCTTCTGTAGAACTACATCTTCGTTGCCTCAAGTCTCTTCTTCTCTTCTTCCAGTCTCTTCTTCAACATATTTTTTACTTTAGGATGCACTTGGAGAATAGCTAAAACTCTAATTACTTATAAAATGGTAAATAATAATTACTGTTTACTTGGTTCAATTGGTTTACATATTTTGATAATAATTTTGTTTGGTCTGGTTTGAGTTGGTTTATGGCATATCAACCTCAAAGGGTTATTTAATGCTGACAAAATGTTTATTGCTGGTGATATTTTTTTTTCCAAAAATGTATTGCTGGTAATATTTTTTTCTTCAAAAATCTATTGCTGGTATTATTTTTTAAAATCTATAACTGTTTGTAATGCTGGTAATATTTTTTTAAAAAGTATTGCTGATAAAAATTTTTTTCCTTCAAAAATTTATTGCTTGGTAATAATTTGTTTTTTTTTTACAAAGTCTTTCTGGTATTAAAACTTATTTTTACACTTTCATAGTATTTTGACTTCAGTCTGGGGGTTAACTATTTACCCATAGCTGGGACCCTAATACATGCTACCACCCCAAATCAGGGTGGACCTGGGAACACCAGCAATTAAGATGTGGTTCCACACTCCTCAAAACCTCCTAATCAGAAGTCTTGCTGTTGGACGTAGTTTATCGTCTTACCCAGGACATGGATGTAGTTTACCGTCATACTCAGGACGGAATAATTTTGTAATTTTTTATAAAAATTTCAAGGTGAATAATAAATATTGCATTGTACTTGGTTTACATATTTTAAGAATCTTGTAGATTAAATAGACATTGCTGAGGGAATCAGCAATGCTTACAGTAATAGTGTAATGTATACAGTCATAGCAGCATCAATGGAATGACTGTTCTTTTGACACACTGTTCATTATTACAGGCAGGAAGTTTAGACATTGCTTTTGAGTTTTTGTACAGGCACTCCACAAAGGAACTGGACAGTCAGTGTTGTGACCAAGTAAATGGTGAAGAATAACAAAACAAGAGATTGCAGATAACTAGTGTATTGAACAGTAAATACAACAGTATATTACACAACTTGGTAGTGTGCATTGGTTGACCAGCATTCAGTCTATCACTGTTCCCCCTGAGGCCTACTTCTCCTAGTAACTTTATAGTAAGTGGAAGAGTCCACTATAGCCTCATTGGAGGGAAGATGCCACAACAGTCAGTTAAGCATACTAAAGGAGATGATATACTATCTAACTTATATTCTTTAATCATTGATTGCTGACTGAGCCATTTCTTCAGCTTTTTGCTCTACAAAAAAATTGCAATCAGTGTGTTTCGAGTTTTTTTTGTTGTTTTTTTTCTCTTATACATTTACCTCTGATTTCACATTTATCAATTTCTTTCTTTCCAACCATGTGTCATATTCTATGACATGAAGAATGACATGAAATGTCTAACAATTCTTCCTACTGGAAAGCAAACATGGAATTGGCTCCCCAAATCTTTGCTAAAGTCAATATCCTGGAATTTTAACAGAACAAATGCCATGTTCATATGACTACATCTTAGAATACCTTTCAGAATCAGAATGCTGATGACATGTTTTTGGCATTCCTTTTCTCATCAGGGCTGGTTCATCTCCAATAAAAAGAGAGAGAGGGAGAGAAGTAGAGGGAAAGAGAGAGTAGCAGAGAGAGAAGGAGAGAAAGAGAAAGAGACTTAATGGCCAGGATATTCATGCCTGTTTCTATATATTTCTTGCTAACTTCTGAAGCTTGTGATAGGCTTCAAAATTCTTCCAAAGAATTCTTATGGTAGAAAACCAAAATTTGTTTGTTTGTATTCAATATCTGCTGATTCTAACTGAACACCTGTCATATTCTTGTGTGACTGGAATATTCCATAGATTCTGAGCCAAATATGCCTGCAACAAGTCATGGACACTGACCTCTTCATAAAAGAAATTGGGCAAGTAAAAACTGTAGCCAAACTACTGTGTCATTTCCATTTTGTTTATTGCTTCTAAAAGAAGAGATCTTTTAAATGACAAAATATCTATATAGATTCATCCTTTTGAAATCAGCTCAGAAAATCCACAGTGCTTGTATTCAAGGTTTACAACTGGTACAAAAATTTTGACCAACTTAAATTTATGGGAGAAATATGATATATAAACTCTATAATGTATATCCGATTTATAATAGGTAACTGAATGACAAAATCTAAAAA